TCTCCTCCCCGATCTTATGGGTAATCACTTCTTCTTACTCCTCCATTGTGCTCCAGTAAACACAGAACAGCATTTCATAGTGTAGTAGTTAAAACCAATCTGTTTAGTAACAGTATTGCACTTTCATACACAGAAGTTAAAGATCAACGCTCCTTTAAGACAAATATTGCATACTGCCACAATCACTTCCTGCGGCGTCCAACATCTTTCTCTCCTCCCACGCATTACGTCACGTTCCCCGTGACTTCATTATAAGCTTACCAATAGGCGATAGTACCAGAAACAACTTTACTACCACTTTAGGTCAGCCATAGATGGAGAGACCTTCTTTCCTGCAACCACGGTCAATTGTTGATGTCAATGTTGAATAGGACACCCCGCAGAGTCATTGTGTTCTCCTGGAAGGGGGAGCCGTCCCCACTGGAAGAGCACAGTGATTGCTGCTAGAGGCTATAATAGCCGCTGGCAATAATCGCATGTAAACTTCGACACGCTGGTTGTACCCAAGTTGATCACTAGATCAAATTGGGCACATTCAGCCTGCCCATACATGGTTTAAATCATCTTTAGCTGACTTTACCCTGAAGTTCTGGGAGGAGTTCTCCCCGCATTGAGATTGAATATTCTTCCACCGCCCAAAAACATATTGGTAGATTCCACCAAATCCACCAAAATTGACCCTTTATGTTTGTGGATAGAAGGGTTTGATGGTGTTGCATTGTGAGCTACTTTGATAGCAGGTACTTATATGTTAAATACTTATATGTTAAATATTTGTGAAACTGCTTGTAAAACACTTGGGCTGTTCTACTGAAGTGGTACTTGAGCCACAGAAGGAAAAGGCAGGCGTGTGTACAGTGCCGATGACTAGAAGAACACAGATCTCAAAGTGTATTTTGCAGGCAGCTTCAGATTTGCATTTGTACTTTCCATGTAGAACAGAGATGAATTACTAAACTGTCTCCCAGATTTTAGAAAATATCTTCATCCCATAGCAAGAAAAGCAACCTATAAGTATCCATTCATTATTGCGGGGTAGTTAGAGGAATCCTATCCCTTCCTTACTTTTTTTTTCCCACTGGTTATGCACAGACAAAAAAAAAAACACATACTTGCACACCCAGAAGTGTTCTTTAGGGATCCACTGCACACAGGGTTCTGCCCATCCATCTTCTTCTGGGACATTTTCCGGGGCATGATGCATCATTGGGGGGGGGGGGGGGGCAGCTGCAAGTACCAGGAAGAGACAGTTGGTACCCTGATGATGTACCACAGCACATGTTCCATAGAGTACCCTAAGGCCTCCTGGCAGAACCAGGACAGGTCTAGCACCCAGGGAAAGGCTGCGGGACTGCACCCCCTCCCATACTGTTAAGGCATGCCATGGAATAGGTTTATACAATAAGCACACTTTCACTCCCAGTGCTCAGAGATCCATCACTGTTGAATAGAGCCAAGGTGACCACCTAGGGACTTCACCGGAAATGCACAGCTCATGCAGCTTTCCTTGATGGGGGATCCAGTAGCAACTGTAAAACAACCAAACAGTCAGGCGCAAACACCTGGTGCATTACCAGAGGTTTATTCATTAAAATCAATATCATAGCAGATGGGTACTCACAAAGGTGAAAGATAAAAAGCACGAGATGCCACAATGTATGGGAGAAGTGTGTCCCAACATGCAACCCCACTAGGGCTGAAAAGCTGACACGTTTTGGGGGTGCATCCCCTTCCTCAGAGCTAAAGTCAGCTTAGCACTGAAGAAGAAGGTTCGCCCCCAAAACGCAGGGGCTTGCCAGCCTAGTGAGGTCTCCCACACATTGTGGCATCTCTTGGTTTTTATCCTTCACCTTTTTTTACGAGTTCCCATCTGCTTTGATATTGATTTTAAAGAATAGACCTCTGGTAATGCACCAGGTATTTGTCTGCCTGTTTGTTTTGCAAATGGTAAAAAGCTGACAGAGGTTCTACCATCCACATTCTAAAGGTAATAAAAACCCATCAGGGGCTTCTGATCCTTTCCCACTCTATCAAAAAAACAAAAACAGTTTGGATTTTCTGAAATCATTTGCATTGTTTACTTATGTCAGAGCATGTGTGGCCACCTTTAGATAGACTTTTGTTCCATGTCTTTATTACTATGTGCACTGCTCTGATGGTTGGACATAAATTCATCATGAGCTTGGAGCGAGAATAGCTCCATGTGGCGATTATACCGTCAGGGTCTATATTTAGGATCACACTTGGCTGTTTTGTTTTAGTTGCCAAGTTAGCAGGGGCATTGAGCGGCAGGGTGGGTTTGTTCAGAATTTTTGAACTGGTTGGCTCCTGTGCCAACTACGGAGCTCAGACCACATCTATCATTCTGACAGTTTTCTTACTAAGCGGTAGTGGAGATGGATTTGTCCGCACATGGGACAGTTATAGTTTTTTTTTTTTTTTTTTTTGTGGGGGTTTTTTTGCTAACAGTGTTACGTACATGTAGTATGCAAATCATTGTATTCATGGCTTTCTTTGAGTAAGTCAGTAAATCACCTCCTAATAAGTCTTTCTGGAACTGACAGTTCCATACAAGGCTTTTGGAGCTGAAAAGTAATTTATCTACTCTAAAGCTTTCAAAAATATTTCTGTTATGCAAAATGTGGACCTATGACTTGATCCCTTGCCCTACCTAAAAACTTAGACCTAGTTCTACTAGTGTGATGAAATCTCTGCTTTCCACCTGCTATTTCATTACCAGCTTAGTGGTTTCATGGAGTGAGGCAATCTCCCAGTAGAACAACAATTTTCCTGTTCAGCTACATTTACCTAAAAAAACCCAAAGGGCCAGTTCACACTATAGAAATGCATTCCGGATGCAGGCGCGTTTTTTTACGTATTACGGCACGTTTTTGATGCCTTTTTGACGCGTTCCAGTGCGTTTTGGGTTTTTTTTATGCATTCCAGTTTATTTTATCCCCTCTCTCTTTCTTCAATTTAACTAGGGACATGAGCGTTCCAGTGTGAACTGGCTCTTTAAAGTGGTTGTAAACCCTTATATGTACCCAGTGAAATGGGTGGCCTCAGGTGATATACAGAGATGAATCATATCTTCCAACATAAGTTGTACCTGCTTATCTGCAGTATTATCTTCTCTACATCTGTTCAAAGTGCAGAAGTTATGCAGCTTGTCTGAGAGTTCAGAAAGCAGGGGGGCGGCGAGCTAAAATTATACACTGCAGTGTTCAGTGAGGGGGAGCTCTGAGAGTTGATTGGAGGGAAGAGACACACCTCCCTTGACACAAGAACAGAGCTGAGGCTGTCAATCTGCTGGTGGTCCCTCCCCTGTCACCGTTTTTTTTTCGTGGTGTAAGGAAAACTTGTCAGAAGTGACTCATGCTGATAGCAGAGGAACAAACAGCAGACAGAAATGACACTAGGACAGGCCATAGACGGGCCGTTTATCGGCCAAATTGTCAGGCCGATTAACGAAAAATTGCTCGGCCCCGTTGCCAATGCTGCCACCAATGTCCATGAAAAACGTCCGTTTTTCGTAGATTTTCCAGCATGACCGATAAAAATAAAAGAGGAGATCCGCGAAAAACGGCCAACGGGCTGGCCCCACTAACTGCTTGAATATCGGCCGATTTTTCTTGCGGACAAAAATTCAGCCGATAAACGACCCGTCTATGGCCTGCATTAGTGCTCTGGACTGAGACAAGTATACACTATAGATTGATATGCTTTGTTCATATTTCATGTCTGATGTTTGCAGCCACACTAAGATAGATAGATAGATATCGCTGTCTCTGAATCTGTTGTCCAGTATCTGCTGTATAATGCCTCACTGGGAGCTTCTTCGGTTAAGCTGGCCAAAGATGGTTGAAATCTTGGGAAAGGGCGTGATTCAAACCATCTATGAGCAGGCTGATTGTACCCAAATCAATTGTTGTGTGCAACCAGCCTGATGGATTTTTCATAGCGGAAAGCCCCTAGCAATAATCGCTGCATTCTCCTGGCAGGGATAGCTACCCCACGCCCCACCCCATGCCTCCCCGCTGGGAGAACACAATGGTTCCGCAGGAGGGATTCCCTCATCACTGACTGTGTTGATGACAAAATCGAGCAATTTTCTTTCCTGCAAAGAAAATCCTGTCATCTACGGATTTACGGACGGTTTTAGCCATTGGGCTGTCTATCTGATAGATCTGATCTATTAAGCAATTTGATTAATCCTCTCCCTAAAGCCATCCATAGATGGTTGCAGGATAGAAAATTTCTTGATTCTCCCATCAACACAGTCGGTGTTGATAGAGGAATCCCTCCCGTGGAGCCATTCCTTCCAGGAGAACACAGTGATTGCTGCTAGCAGCTATAATACCCACTAGCAATAATCACATGTAAAACCCAACAAGCTGGTTGTACCCAAGTTGATCAGTCGATCAACTTGGGTACATTCAGCGTGCCCATACACAGTTCGAATCTAGGGAGGTCCCTCCTAAACTGGCCGAGATTCAAACTGTCTATGGCTGGCTTAACACACCATACTTTAAAATGAATCCTTAACACATGAACTAAGCACCCTAACCCCTGGCCTAAAACTAATATCTCTTATCCTGAAAGGTAAGAATCCCTTGCTGGCAATTAACAGCTTCAGTCTCCCAGTACTGACAAGGAACGGTCCACCTTGCTTCTGCTGAGGAACCACATTTCAATAGGGACTTTTGGAAAAATGTCTCTGACTCATGGGATTTGGATGCAGGCAAGGTTGAGTACCTTTTGTGCTAAAGGAGAACTATGTCTCCAAAGGACAAGCAAAAATATATTCTTTTTTTCAGTTGAGTTTTTTGCTATAGCAGTGGCAAGAGGATTGTTTGCTCTTCTACAATGAAGTGAGAGTGATCCATACCCGGACTGGGTCAATGTCAGAGAGGGGAAAAGAAGCTATATCCTTAGGCTAAAAGTACATCTTTATGTTTAATGTGTGTGTCAGGCTTTTGATTTTCTTTTTCCTTTTACAGCCTTCCCATGGTTCGGCATGGATATTGGTGGAACTCTGGTTAAACTTGTCTACTTTGAGCCTAAAGACATCACGGCAGAGGAAGAACAAGAAGAGGTTGAAAACCTGAAAAGCATTAGAAAATACTTGACTTCAAATACAGCCTATGGTAAAACTGGAATCCGAGATGTCCATTTGGAACTGAAAAATCTGACCATGTGTGGCCGTAAAGGCAATTTGCACTTTATCCGCTTTCCCACCTGTGCTATGCATAGGTTCATTCAGATGGGAAGCGAGAAGAACTTCTCCAGCTTACACACTACACTGTGTGCCACAGGAGGTGGGGCGTACAAGTTTGAAGAAGACTTTAGGACGGTATGTCTAGGGAAGGGCTCTTTTAATGCAATCTTATAGTCCATTTTTCTATATGTGTGTATGTGTGGGAAAGCTTGATATGCTAACAAAAGAACGAATGACCTTTTATTTTAAAAGTAAAGTGCCAAACAGTTGATGTCTGTCAGTTTTTGTCCATCATGGGCTACGTCTGTTAGTTTGTACCCGTCATCCTAGTTCTTATCAAGCAATGTCTGTCACTGCATGTCCTTCACTGTGTCTATCAGTGCCTTTTGTTTTTATTAGTATGTTAGTGTTTGATAACGACAGCTTTAATCATTTATTAATAGTTTGCAGGAGTGTGTTACATAATCCCTGCAATGAATTAAAGTGATACTAAAGGTTCCGATATTTTTTTTTCTTAAAAATAACAAATGTGTCATACTTACCTGCTCTGTGTAATGGTTTTGCATAGAGCAGCCCCGATTCTCCTCCCCACCGGTGCTCCTGGCTCCCCCCCCCCATGCTGAATGTCCCCAGAGCAAGCTGCTTGTGCTGGGGGCACTCGTGTGTGCCCTGGGGGCTCAGGTAAGTATTAAAGGGGCCTGAGGGGGAACCTGAACACTGAAGGCATAGAATGCATGAAGGTAACAAATCCTTCAGCCCTTAAAACCACTTTAAGGCCTTTTAATATATAGCGGGGGGTAGATATTCAAAAACATAGCTGGGTGATCATTGGCCTGATAAAAATCTGTGCTTCCGACCTGTGTTTTTTTTTTTTTGTTTTTTTTTTTGGTTTTGTTTTTTTTTTGGGGGGGTTCGTTCCTGCAGACCCGGAACTATCGGCAAGTGATGTGACCCGTCTAACCAAGAGCATGTCTTGTGCAAAAATGCATGTGTGGAGTTAATCTAAGCAGGCCTAGATTCTCTACTTCTGGGGTCCCCAAACCACAGCCCCTCAGGCCACATTCAGGTCACTACAAGATGTAATCTGGCCCACAGTAGCTGTCTGTGAAAATACCCCAGCTGGCTGGCAGTGGATGTTCCGGTCTTTGTATCGTAATACGGACAATGGTGCATCTACAGGCAGCCAACCAGTCAGTGAATTCCCAAGTCCCTCAGATGGGCACTCCTGCATGTAAGTAGGGACTCTGATGGGCACTCCTGCATGTAAGTAGGGACTCTGATGGGCACTCCTGCATGTAGGGGAGAGACCCTAATGGGCATCCTGGCATGCAAAAGGAGACTCTGATGGACACTCTTTGATTTAAGGGATGACTCTGGTGGATGGTTGCTGCTTGATGTAAGAGGCGACTCTGGTGGGCACTTCTGAATGTAAGGGGGGACTCTTCATAATTTTTATTTGTTTTTGGCCAAGAATATTTGTAAAATATATAATTTGGTCTCTGGTTTTGAAATGTTTGGAGGCTCCTGCTCTAAATCAAGCCTACTAAGGGGTGTTAAACAAAGGAAGGTGAGAGATGTGAATATTTCAATCCACAGAGCAAGTGTGTTGCCTCTAAAAGCAGAACTTTTTATGAGCTTTTAGTAGATGCTCACTTTAGTATATTCCTGATATTGAGCAGTTCCTAGTTTATGTAGAAAGGTTATTAGGTTGGATAACAGCTCACCACTGTGGATGATTCCATTGTTTTTTGTTTTTTTTTATTTGCATGAATACTTCTACAACTCAGGTTTCAGGTTTTAAGAGCGATAATCCCTTTACAAGACCAGAACCTGATTATGTAGCCTATTGGCAGAATATATGTGCGATATTAAGGAGTTTATTGTATGTAATCAATATAGGTATTGCTAGATGAGATAAGAGAGCTGGAGAAAGGGTATCACCTAGTTAATGAGCTTGTTTACATAGCAATAAAACACAAGTGCATGTAATATGTCCATCTTACTGATAAGCATTGGAAAGGTGTTTGATCTCAATACTTTTTAATATCAATGGGCATTTAAGTATGTTTTGTTTATGTAGGATTCGAAATGCCTTAAATATAGCATATACACCGATCAGTCATAACATTATGACCCCTGACAGGTACAGTGAATAATGTTGATTATGTTGAAAATGGCACATGAAGGTAGGTAGGATATTTTAGGCAACAAGTGAATATGCCAACTGAAGTTGATGTGTTGAAAACACAAAAATTGGACAAGTGTAAGGATTTGAGCAACTTTGACAAGAGCCAACTTGTAATGTCTGGACAACTGAGTCAGAGCAGCTCCACAACGGCAACTGTTGTGGGATGTTCCTGGTGTGCAGTGCTTAGGACCTAGCAAACGTGGTCCAAGGAAGGAAAACCGGTAACAGTCATGGGTGGTCAAGGTTCATTGATGCACGTGGGGAATGAAGGCTGACCCATGTAGTTCTACCCAATAGAAGAACTGCTGTAGCTCAAATTGCTGAAAAAGTTAATGCTGGTTCTGATAGGTGTCAGAACACACAGTGCATCACAGTTTGTTGCATATGGACCTACATAGCTACAGACCAATCGGGGTGCCTATGCTGACCTGCGACCACAGCCAAAAGCACCTACAATGGGCATGTGAGCATCAGAACTGGACCATGGAGCAATGGAATTAAGTGTCTTTGAGATGTTGACTTGGTCTCAAAATTTTCCAGATCTCACTCCAATCAAGTATCTGTGGGATGTGCTGGAAAAACAAGTCAGATCCATGAAGGCCCCACCTTGCTGCCTACAGGGTTTAAAAGATCCATTTCTGACTAGCTTGGTGCCAGATACCACAGCATTCCTTCAAAAATCCATACCTTAATTGGTCAGGGCTGTTTTGGCAGCAAAATAGGGACCTAAGCAATATAAGGTGGGTGGTCATAATAGCATGGCTGATCAATAGAAGGTGGGTGGTCATAATGGTATGGCTGATCAATATAAGGTAGGTGGTCATAATGGTATGGCTGATCAATATAAGGTAGGTGGTCATAATGGTATGGCTGATCAATATAAGGTAGGTGGTCATAATGGTATGGTGATCATATAAAGGTAGGTGGTCATGATGGTATGGCTGATCAATAAGGTGAGTGGTCATAATGGTATGGCTGATCATTGTAAGGTAGGTGGTCATAATGGTATGGCTGATCAATATAAGGTAGGTGGTCATAATGGTATGGCTGATCAATATAAGGTAGGTGGTCATAATGGTATGGCTGATCAATATAGGGTAGGTGGTCATAATGGTATGGCTGATCATTGTAAGGTTAAAGTGTTTGTAATATAATTTTTTTTTTGTTTAATAACAAAGTTGTTATACTTACCTGCCCTGTGCAATGGAATTACACAGAATGGCCCCAAATTTCCTCTTCTGGGGTCCCCCTCCGCCACTATAGGCTCCTCCTCTTCAAGTGCCACTATAGCCAGCCACTTTCTACGAGGGCACTCGTGTGGGCTCAATCTAGAGCTGGGCTGTATACATCTATTGACATGCACAGCCCCCATCCCACGTTCTCTGCTCACAGGATTTAATTGACATTGGCTCCCTCTGCCTCAGCAAAGCCTGTGAGACAGGCACAGTGCTGGATCGATTTAAGACTCAAGTAAGTATTTTTGGGGGGTGAGGGAACAATCTAACAGAGAATGCATCAAGGTAAGAATTGGTTAGGCTTTGCGACCACTTTAAGATTATTAAAGGGATAAAGAAATCCTTAGAGAGAACGTAGTTGTAAAATTAGAAAATGTTGTTATGATCTTCATCGCTTTATGGGCTATGTGGCTTCTAACCTTCAGAAGCACAATACCTCTGGCAAGGCTCATTAATACTGATTAAGTGTAAGACCTGCATTTTCCTGCGTTTCCAGCTCCGTGTGAATGAGACATAACTGATGGAATGATTAATACAGTAGTTTCCCAGTCAGTGTGTACTGGGACACTATCTACATATAGCCCCTAGAGAGGCCATTAAGTCTTGCGATTTTAAGTTCGACTATGCGGTGTGACTTCATTGCGACTTGCTGCCATTTCATTGCGACTCCAGTGATACATCTCAATGCAAGTCGCAACAAAGTCTCACAGAAACGTGCAGGGACCTTTTTTGGACCTCCATTGAAAATTCAAAAAGACCAGAAAATGACATAAATATTGCCCATGATAAACTCAGAACTATCCCATGGAACCCAGTCCCCAGATACAGTATATATTCCAGTATTACACATTATATTGCAAAATTTCAGTATATATTCAATAGAAAAGAATAACTCACAAAAAGCACATTCCCTACTGTCAAAAATGAAAGTACAGGGATGAGGGAGGCCAGACAATGCACAAGGTATTTCTGTCCATTGCTCACTCTTGGACATTGACCAGTACACTGGTAAATTATCATGAGAACACACTGTACCCCAAACTTACAGGTGGCAACTGAAAACGGCAAAATGATCCTAGCCTGCCGTACCACCAACCACTACTAAAAGGTAACTTGCTTTTAGAGTGGTTTCAAGTTTTTTGTTTTTTTTTTGTGTATTTTTTTAATAATAAACAGGTTTATAATTATCTGCTCTGTGTATGGGAATTGCACAGAGCGGACCCCTGCCAGGGATCTATGCTTTACCAGGTTTCTGTGTGTGCTGTGGGGGCACATGTGCGGGTGCACTACTGAGCAGGGCTGTGTGTGTGTCCATAGACATACACAGTGTGGCACAGCCCCACCACCCACTACATTCACCCTGGATTTGAAAATAGAGTGAAGTCAGTGAGAGTAAGAAGAGTGTGCTGGATTGATAGAGGTACGTGTTTAGAGGGGGAGATTTATTTTTTTTAATCTGAATGCAGGGAATATATTAAGGTAAACACCCAGATTTTTACGCACACGCCCACACACACACGCATAGGGGTATTTGGTAACACAACAACAGTCTTTCTAAGTGTTTGGATTTCTTTGCTCAAATAGGAGGCCCTTTTAAATCCTATTCTAACTACCCCTTGAAAGGCAGATGTGTATACTTCCCTATTCTCAGGGCACTCCGGTCTGGTCACATGATCCCTCCAGTGGCCAGCTTCAGTGTATAGGAGAGATCA